AGACCCTCCTTGGAAGGAGGAAGGGTCCTTTCCCTCCCTCTGCCCACCTGACCCCTTCTGGGGGCTGGCCCAGTTTCCTAATAATTGTTACTCTGGGAAGTGTCCACACCATGCCCTCCCTTCTCCTGGGCCTGGGGAGAAATGCTCCCTCCCAGGCCAGGAAGACCTGCCCTGGGTGACTGCAGGGGTCTCAAGCCCCAAGGGTCTGCAGGTTCTAACCCTGTGTTAGAGCTGAGAATGGAGGTCCCTCTGCGCAACTTGCTGTGGGCACCTGAGGAGGGTGCAGTGGGGCATCAGCCCCGCCTGCCACCTCTGCCGGCTGCAGCACGCCCCCCCCCCCCCGTGGCCCACCTGCCCGCCACAGCTGTCACCAGAGAAAGGCGCCAGGAGAGGTGGGAAGGGGCCCAGGAAGGGAGGGAACAGGCGCGGGCAGCCAGGGCCAGCAGGAAGCTCTCAGACCCTTGCAGGACCAATAGGAGAGGCAGCCCCACAGACTCTGCAGGGGAGACTGGGGACGAGAAAGGAGAGCCGCTGGCCCAGCGAGCACCTGCCGTCTCCCCTTTCCTCCAGCTCCCCGTTCACACATCCTCAGAGCTGGGAGGGGGCTCCCTCCCAGAGCTGCCCTCCTTTTGTCCCGGGAGACACGAGACTCAGAGGGGATGGCCCAAAGCCCAGACCCAGCACCGTGATAGGCGGGAAGCAGGATTCCTGCCTCCTAGGCGCCTTCTCACTGCCTGCTCCGGACACCCCGAGCGCTCACGCGGGAGTGCTTCATCCTGTCTGCCCTCCTCCCAGACAATGGGGAGTCTCCAGGGCCAGGGAGACCTCACAAGCTTCCTCTTTGTCAGGGTGCCCGGCCAGGGCCCAGGAGTCACCTCCCTCCTCAGGACTCCTGGCCGGCCCTCCTCTCCAGCCCAGAGGGAGGCCAGCAACTCGGCAGGCTTTTCTCGGCTCTCCTCTTGTAGGAGGTGGGGGGCCTATTTTAGAGATCCTCGTGTGTGGATGAGCCACCCGGGGTCTGCAGGGATGGCCAGGACCAAAGGCCACCCCCCAAGGCAAGAGCTCCACCGGTAGGAACCCCAAGGTGGGCCTGGGGCATCAGGTTCTTCCTTGGCACAGCAGCTCTGGGGCTGGAGGGGGCGGCTCCCAGGCCCTCCTTGGCTCCACTGTTCCGGATTTCTGAGGGAACAGCTTTCTTTGTGTGTGTTTTTTTGAGGAAGATTGGCCCTGAGCTAATATCTGTTGCCAATCTTTCTCCTTTTTTCCTTTTTTCTCCCCAAAGCCCCAGTAGATAGTTGTATGTCATAGTCATACATCCTTCTAGTTGCTGTATGTGGGACGCGGCCTCAGCATGGCTTGATGAGCGGTGCATTGGGCAGCGCCCAGGATCCGAACCAGCAAGCCCTGAGCCACCCTGGGCCACCGCAGCGGAGCGCGAGAACTTAACCGCTACGCCACCGGGCCTCCCTGGGAACAGCTTCCTTAAACTTGAGCCCCACAACACAGTGAGGGGTGGCTCCAGAGCCTGGGGGTGGGGGACGGGCGCCCATCAGCAGAGGAAGAGCTGGCCAGAGCAAGCACCGAGCACGTGGGCCCTGCAGGAGAGTGAGCGGTGGGGGAACGTGTGTGGAAGCCTTTACACCCGGGCCAGCACCCCGAGTCAGGACCGCAGGGCTGATGGACCCCGGGACATGTGACTCCATAACTACTTTCCTGCCGGAGGCCCAGCATAGGGAGTGCCGGAGTCCATGGTCACCAGCCTGGAGTCCAACCTCCCCCCGAGCCTGAGGCTTTCCCTGACAGCCGTGGATCTGCCAGTGGACAGGGGTGGAGCCACGGGGGTGGGGGACGAGGCACTCAGAAGCCCCCCAGCACCACCACCCAGCCGGGTCCAGGTCCCCGCCCTCAGCAGCACAGATTCCTCCAGGGGCTGCGTCCTGGCCGGAGAGGCGCCCGGCTCAGCTCTACAAGATGCCCTGCCTGCACCCAGGGCTCCGGCCCCTGATCCAGGCCTCCAGACTCAGTGGGCACAGGCCCTTGGGCAAGGTAGCCAGACGCTGGGGCTCTGCAGGCAGCTGCCTGAGCTGCTTCTCTGAGCCTCCATCTTTGCCGCTGGGCTGTGTCCACCTGCATGAGGGTTAGGGGTGGGCTACGGCAAGCTCACGGCGCGGTGCCCAGCCGGGGGGCCTGGTTGCCCCCATCCCCCGCCGGGACCAGAGTGGTTCCGGGGAATCCCCACCTCCGGGAACCGAGCTTTGCATGCAGGTATTTCATGCGTGACTTTCACCAGGAGGCATGTTGCTACCTGACAGATTCCGCTCTCTTGTGGTCTGCAGAGGTGGGAGGACCCACCCTCGGTACTCCACTGCTGGTGAGAGACGGGGCCCCCCTCCCCGGCCCAGACACGCTCAGCAGCGGACATCCTCCGGGAGGGAGCCCAGCCCACCCCACCCCACAGGGACCTAGAACTGGCCCCTCTGCCTCCCTGACACTCGGCCTATGGGGTCTCCAGGCCTCCTGCCCTGGGGGCGTTAGCTGGGGGCGGCCTCTGGAACTCCACGGACAGACCTCTTAGAGACTGCACCCAGGGGTCCTCTCCCTGGAGCCTGGTGGCAGCTCCTGCCCCTCCGCAGAGAGGCTGCAGCTAGAGCCCGAGGCACGCAGCCTTTTGATTGTAATGTGCGTGCCTGACGCTAAGATTCTGATCGCCAAGGCGAAGGCTTCAAAGATGTCCATCTCGAACGAACAGACGTGTTGCCAGCTGGAAGACACGGCTACTGGCAAAACAACCAGATAAGAGCCAGGCCCCCCAGTCCACACAAAGGTCACCTTTAGGAAGCCCTGGGTGACCCAGATAACTGACCACCCACGTGACCCTGCTTTTCTCTCTGAGCCTTAATTCCTGCTCTTCTGTTTTAAACTCACCAATAAAGAGTGAACCCGAGAAAGCCTAGGCCCCCACCCTCGACCCCAACAGAGGCAGAGCCCCAGGTCCGCGTGTGTACTCTCTACCTGAGACCTTGCTGTGTGGCCCAGGTGTGCCATGTACCCCTAGGACCTGTGAGTACAAACCTTGTTCCTCAAGGTTCCCCGCTGGGTGTTGCTGTGGGCGTCCTGCAACCATAGGAGCCTCAAGGGCCGGTGCAGCCACAGCGCCGGCTCCTGTGGGGCTCCCGCAGGTAGTCCGGGCCCAGGTGAGGGCCCAGGCATCCCAGCCGAGAGCATCGCTATCATAGCCTGAGACGGACCCAAAACAGTGGGGGACACTGACGTCCAGGAGGCGGGCACTGAAAGGTGAGAGGTCGGGACCCTTGGCCCCTGGGGAGCCGTTGGCAGAACAGAGAACATTCCAAAAGGAGAGGAATGACACTGCCCGGCACTGTCCCAGTACCTGCCTCAGTTTCCCCACCTGTAAAGTGGGGATGTAAGAGGTGCTCAATGCAGGCGAGCTGTTTCTACTATGACGTCTCCTGAGCAGAGGCAGGAGGCCAGGGCCATGCAGTTGGATGCCTCAGACCCAGTCAGAGGGGTTCCTCAGAGGAACGGACCTCATGGGGAGCTTGCTGCCCACAGACCCTCACCCACCCCAGACTGCGACTGCCCCACATGCCCTCTCCTAGTCCCATGTGGGCCGGGGCCTGCACCAGCCCAGCGTTGGAGACAGAGCTAGAATAGAGGACATGGGGGACCCTCCTGCCAAACCCCTCCACTTCACCCTGGCTCATTCACGAGACTGGAGACCCCACAGCCCCCACAATTCGCTGGATGCTCAAGGTGCCTCAGACGGGTATGTGTTGGGGTGAGGGGCTCCAACTTCTGGAATGGGGGGCTTTAGGGAGGGGGGCCAGGCTCGGTGCCCTCCTGGCCTCCAGAGTTCCCAGCACCACCTCCCTCCTGCCCCCTGGCCCTTGGCCTGGTGCCAGTGCCCCGAGACAAGATGTGCTCGGCGGGGGGAGGCCAGCAGCCAGCACAGCTGCCATCCAGGGAGCTGCGAGCCGGCAGAGCCAGTGCACCCGGGGGGGGCCGCTGTTTCCAACATGTTTTCCTCACGAACCCCGCGAAGTACCCACCACAAGTCCCCACCCGAGGGAGCCCTGGGCACCAAGCCTTGTGGGCAGGACAAAGCAGCCCGGGGGTCCGGCGGGGACTGTCCCAAGGAGGCGACTGCAGGGTGTGGGTGCTGGGGACAGTAGGCATTGCTGGGTCCTTACACCCCCTTCTTGTGTCCCACCTACCACCCACCTCCTGGCACACCAGGGCTGGGAAATGGGTGGCCAGAGAGAGAGCCGGGATGTAGCCACCACCCAGTTATCCCAGCCCTATCTTCTTGCCAAGAGGAACACCCAGTGTGTCAGGACCTGAGGCACCACAGGGCTGATGGGCTGTCGGCAGCCTCAATTGCCCCTGCATGCCCCCATCCAGTCCCCTTCCTCTGGAAATAGCATCTTGATCTTCCTTTGGGCCCCTCTTCCCCATAACTCAGTCCCTGTGGTGGGCAGAGCCCACTCCACTCCATTATATCCTGACCCTGTTCCAGGGGACCCAGGCTGATCAGAGGCTCAGAGATGAGCACAGGACGACATTCAGACCAATGAGAGCCAGGCCTGCTGGACTATGGGCAAAGAGAGGTCCTCCCCCACAGGAACGGGGATGCTGGTGGAGCCTTGTACCCTTCACCACAAGAGGAGAGGCTGCCTAAGAACAAAGCCACCATGAGGAAAGCAGGGCAAGAGACAGAGAGGCAGCTGTTTGAACACCTGGATCCAGCCATGCCTGAAGTCCTTCATACACCTGGATCCAGCCATGCCTAAATCCTTTCCCGGACTGACAGTTACATGAGCCGATACATTTTCTACTTTGCAATTTGAAATGTCCTGATAAACTCACAGAGGAAGCTGTACACCTGAGAGCCTCTTTCTGGTTCTGAGGGCTCCCAAGACAGGACAGTCTGCATTTACTGCCCCCACCCCACGTCCTCCACAAACGGCAGCCCCACTTACCATGACAGACGTGGTCATGCCCTGCAGGTGGAAGACATCCATGCTGGCCTCTGCGCCGCCCACTATCTCACTAGTCCCCTGGCTCGACTGGGGGAGGTCAAAGTAGGTGCTGTCGGGCTCCCTGGGAAGAGCGGACAGAGCCGTCAGCCCCTGACCACCAGGGCCAGAGTGCAGGGCCGGGCCTCGGCTCCTGTGGGGGCCAACGTCTCCCGCTCCCGAGGAGCCCTTTCTGCCCACCCTCAGCTCCCGCCTCCTCCCACCGCCTCCTCCTCCTCTGCTGGACTCTCCAGGGCTGAAGTGAGCACCAGGGAGGCGTGGCCACACGTGGGCTCTGTCCCCTGGACCTCTCCTGGCCCCAAGCCCTCTGGAGGGCTGGTCAGAGGAAAGGGCCCAGACTTTGGACCCCGGATCCCCAGGAGAAGGCCCAAAGCAGCAGCTCCCCTGCCTACCCCTCTCGCTCAGCTCTGCTCCTGAGCTAGCCTGGCGAGGTGGCCAAGGCTAGCCCAGGTCCAGCCCGGGGTTGCGCAGAGGAAACACTCACAGAGATCTCCAGAGGTGCTCGAACGTGGCTCCCTCGTCGGGGGCGGTGGGCTGGGACATCCTCCCCACACCGGCCGCGAGGGCAGCTTGCTCTGCCAGGAGGAAAGGACAACGTGAGCACTTCGGGAATGCGTCCTCTGTGCTCCTCCAGCATCCCCGGGGGGCGGCAGGGCCGACGGTGCCCACGCAGGGCCACCCTGGAGCACTGGCATGCGCTTGCCCTTCACGCACCCGCGCATTTCGTCCTGCCCGTTCCCGGGCAGGAAACCGAGGCCCTGGTGGGTGGGCAGGAGCTCGGCCTTGCAGACTGCAGGCCTGGCTTCAGATCCAGGAGGAGGGGGCAGTGACCAGGCTGGGCACAGCAGGGACCCCTGTCCCACCGTGGGGGGAGGGGCAGGGAAACCACCACCCTGCCCAGGCCGAGGTGACGTCTCCCCTGGGCCGGCCTCCGGGTCCTTGGCGCAAGGCTGTGGGAATCAGCTCGGCCACCTCCTGGCAGTGCCCAAGCGGGCAGGCCTAGACCTGCCCACGGCTGTCAGGAGAGGGAGGGCGCACCCGCAATCTGTCGCTTTGTCTGTCCCCAGGCGGTCGGGCACTGACGGAGGCCTGTGGCACTCTCCCGGGGCTGCCACGTGCCAGGCCGCCCGTCCCTGGGGCAGTGGCACAAGCCAGGAGGGCCACCACAGGGGCTGGGCAGGGCACGGGTGAAGGGAGGCCCAAGGGCTAAGGCGGGGCCAAGGAGGATGGCCTGAGACAAGCAGCTTAGAAAGTGCTGGGCACAAACCAGCTCTCCTGCAGGCTCAGAGACCACTCTGCCCACTTCTCAGAAGACTGAGGCTCAGAGAGTTTCAGTGGCCTCACACGGCACAGCTACAAGAGCAGGAATGACCAAGTGGTTTTCTCAGAGTTGGAAATTAACTTAGTTGCCACCTCCCCGACATGATCCACAAGAGTTTTAACAAGGGGCTGGCCAGTGCTCACTTGCACGCCTCCTGTGCTGGGGAGGTCACTCCCATCCTGGGCTGACCTGTGCAAAACCCAGTGGAGCCGAGTGTTGGGCATGGAGCTGGCCACCTGGTAATTCAGAATGGAGTGGACATGGTAGGAAGCAGAACAGTGCCCGCCGCCTGGCTGGGCAGAAACCCGCCCTCACGCATTCCCCATGACTGGTCCTTTTTGGGTGAGAAGGTATTAGTCAGGGCCGCTTACTGGTGTGGACAGGGTGTGCCGACACGAGACCGGGCCGTTTAATCCACCCTCTTCATTTTGCTGATGGACTATCCAAGTCCAGAGATGGAAAATGACCTGGCTAACATCACACAGCAAGTGGATGGCAAGATCCCATCTCCCTTCATGGCAGCACTATTCACAACAGCCAAAAGGTGGATACAGCCCAAATATGCATCAACGGACCAAAAGACACACAACCCGTGGTCAGTCCATACAACGGAATACAAAGGGATGAAGCGGTGACTGCCACCCAGCATCTGGGAAGACAGCACTGGGGGTCAGGCTGAGGAACTGACGCCCTCTCCTCCCCGGCTCCCGCACTCCAGCCCCGCCCCTCCCTCCCACCGGAACAGGCGGGAGGTGTGACGCGAGGGCCCCCACTCCAGCGGACACAATCAGTCCCCCACCTCTCACATTCCCCTGCTTCCCCCCGAGCTGCCGGCCTCAGAGGCCCCTGCCCCACGCCAGGCCGGCAGTGGTTCGAGGAGAGACCTGTGCGTGCCCGGCCCCTGGGGAAGCAGAGAGAGGGAGCAGGGGTTCCCCTCACCCCTCGCAGCCAGAATGGGCAGACGGAGACACCTCAGCCTCACCGGAAGGCAGCAGGTGTCAGTGCACGAAACTAAGTGACACGGGGTCCCCAGGGCCCTGGCAAGGAGGCAGACGAGGGCCTGGTCCAGGGTCACTAAACTCCACTGGGATCAGCAGATCCTGCTACTTCTGCCCCAAATATATCCCCCAAACCCGGGACTCCTGGTCCACTACTCCTCCCCTGACCCGGCACCTGGGCCAGGCCCTCCCTGCATCCACTCTGGCCCTGCAGTCCCTCAGACCTGTCACCTCCCTCAAGCTTAGGATGAAGTTCCCAGTGCCTCACTGCGACTACCGGGCCCCAGGGCCTGAACCCACCCCCACCCTCCTCGCCCCCCACAGGACTCCTCCAGCCCCGTGCCCACAGGGCCTTGCTCCCGCCTGCCCGCAGGCCTCTGCACCACAGCTCCTCGGCTGCAAACACTGTCCCCTCGCCCCAGGCCCTGAAGGCTACTTCCCAGCATCCAGGTCTCAGAGATGCCGTCCCGGCGTCCAGCCTACAACCTGCCCCATTTCTTCCTAACTTCTACTGCTCTCCAATAACACCTGTTCCTTATCTGGCCCTGAGAATCGTTTCCCCCCAGACTCTAAGGAGAGAGACAGAGAGACAGAAACAGAGACAGAGAGATAGAGAGACAGAGACAGAGAGACAGAGACAGAGACAGAGGCAGAGAGAAAAGGCGCTCGCCCAACCCACGTCCCGCTGGGCCTCTGGCCCAGGGCAGGCTCAGCGAAAGTGCTCAGCACTTGGAGGTCCCATGAAGGAATGCGGACAGGAGTCCCTCTGTGCAGGGCCCACTGGGAGCTGGTCAGTGAAACACAGCTTCTGCCCAAGTGCCCGAACGTGGACACGACTTGTGTGTTTACATCACTTTTCACTCCCATTTGCGTTCTTACGTCACACTCTTCCTTCCCACTGAACCTCGAATTAAGAAAGGCATCCCTTCTTGTCTGAGGGTCCCTGCGCTATCCCGGCTTCCACATTTGGCCAGGCGAGCGCAGACAGCCATGTGCACACACCTCTGCTGCCACCACCAGGAGCAGCTCCAGGCACACAGAGGGAGGCAGACCTGCATGAGACAAGGAAGGGGCTTCCTCGGGGCCAGAACTTTGGACCTCTAAACCCACTCCAGAGCCATCACCCCAAGACCTCGGCAGAAGGTCTCCAACTTCAGGAACACTGGTCAGAACGCATATTCCAGGGCCCCACCCCAAGGGGCTCCCATTGTGGGGGTGCAAGAATCCACATCTTTTTTTTTAAATTTTTTTATTGATGTAATAATAGTTTATAACACTGTGAGATTCCAGTTGTACATTATTATTTGTCAGTCACCATATGAATGCCTCCCTTCACCCCTTGTGCCCATCCCCCAACTCCCTTCCCCTGGTAACCACCAAACTGCTCTCTCTGTCCATGTGTTAGTTTATCTTCCACATATGAGTGAAATCATGCAGTGTTTGTCTTTCTCTGTCTGGCTTATTTCACTCAACATAACACCCTCCAGGTCCATCCATGTTGTTGCAAATGGGACGATTTTGTCTTTTTTTTATGGCTGAGTAGTATTCCATTGTATATATATATACCACATCTTCTTCATCCATTCATCAGTTGAGGGACACTTGGGTTGCTTCCATGTCTTGGCTATAGTGAATAATGCTGTAGTGAACATAGGGGGGCATAAGCCTCTTTGGATTGCTGACTTCAAGTTCTTTGGGTAAATACTCAGTAGTGGGATAGCTGGATCATAAGGTATTTCTATTTTTAATTTTTTGAGGAATCTCCATACTGTCTTCCATAGAGGCTGCACCAGTGTGCATTCCCACCAGCTGTGAGTGAGGGTTCCTTTTCTCCACGACCTCGCCAACATTTGTTATTTTTTGTCTTGGTGATTACAGCCATTCTCACAGGTTTAAGGTGATATGTTAGTGTGGTTTTGATTTGCATTTCCCCAGGAGGCTCACAATGACTCTGGGAAGACCCCTGGCGGGGAGAGCATCATGCAGGCTGACCTCGTCCCCTGCGTAGGGCCCCTTTGGCTGTCCACCTGAGGACGGCCATCAGCCTTCACCACTGACTTCCACTCAGGACCTTCATGGGCACAACGAGGGTCCAGAAACCTACCTGTCTTCTGCAGAGGATGCCAGAGGACTTGAACCAGGAAGCCACGCGCGGCGGGATTTCCAACTTCCCTGGAAAACTCTGAAGAGCTGGTTGCACTAAACCCAGGTCCCCCAAGGCCATGAGTGACAAGTGACAGAGCTGCAGACCCGGTCCCCGCAGGTGTCAGGGAGCACCTGCCAGCCCAGCAGGAGCTCAGGGCACAAGAAAGAGGAATGCTGAAGTTTGCCGAAGATGGGGGGTGTGCAGAGACTCAGGCCCCTCATCTGGACCCCCGGGCCCCATTGGCCCCGCTACACTCTCCTCCGGGGCAGGGACACTTCCCAGTATTCTCTTTACCCACCAGCTGCATTTTGGCCAAGGATCACAGACATGAGACAAACAAATAACTCTAAAACCACTTTCTGTAAATTCCATCCAATTTCCCCAATGACCCACATTTTAAATTTGGAGACATGTTCACGATGGAAAGGTGGCTCTCCGACAAAATGGAAATTGCTCTTGCAAACGTTGCAAATCATTTGAAAAATCATGTATGTGGGGGGAAAAGAGACCGACTTCTGACAAAACACTTGAGGTTACAACAAAGTCGTGAGGTGCAAGTACACGGTTGGCAGCCTAGGTTTCTGGAGGAAGATCGAGGTGCCTGGAGAGAAAATGCAACGCAACGGCAGGGGTGCGGTATGTGTCAGTGCCGGGCTCGGGAGGAAGACTTGTGGGTGTAAGAAGTACAAGGTGCTCGTTTGTGGGGGGCCGGCTCTCGCAGAATCGCTGACTTGCACTCAGCCATGTGTTTGCCCTTCCTGGGACCGCAGCCTGAGAAGGGCAGTTATGTGTGTCCCCATTCTCATGGTGGCTGGCCTGCCCCAGCCCTGCCCCAAGGCCCCGTGGGCTGGGGCCCCCGAACCTGGTTCACCTCAAGGAATTTCCAGCAAATATTTGTGACTCAGGAGGGACAGAGAGGGCCCCTGTGCCGGCAGCTGGCCGGGGATGGGGTCTGCAGCCCAAGGGTCCACCCTGCCCAGCTGCCGGCCCCTGCCCGCAGTGCCCCAGGCCCCGGGCCCCCACAGCGCTCAGGCAGGGCTGGGGGTGGGCGAGCCCTGGACCCCAGCTCCCTTGAGGGAGACAACTCCACGCCTCACTGACTTCTCGGTGTG